CAATCAGAATAGAGCTGGAAGGGACCTTGGAGGTCTTCTAATCCACCCCCCTACTCAAGCAGGAGACCCTACACCATTTCAGACAAGTAGCTGTAGTCTTTTCTTAAAAATCTCCAGTGATGAAGCCCTTACAACTTCTGAAGGCCAGCTGTTCCATTGGTTAATTGTCCTTAATGTTAGGAAGTTTCTTCTTAATTCCAGATTGCTTCTCTCCTTGATTAGTTTCCATCCATTGTTTCTTGTCCTGCCCTCTGGTGCTTTGGAAAATAAGTTGATTCCCTCCCCTTTGTGGCAACTTCTCAATTTTTTTCAAGCCAAGGGCCTTTTTTTAAAAAAATACAAAGTAGGTGAAGTCAGGAAAAACAGAGGATGCTGTCTATTGGAATCAGCTCCTGTGATTCAATTCCCTAGCTTTAACGTCATAATATTTTATCTTTCTTTCATATTTTCATGTACTGTTATGCTCAACCATGAGCTGTGTTGACATGCCAGTGTAAAAATGATCAATCAACATGGGATGTAATCAAATTTCGATTACGGTAGAACTTTAAAGTCATCTGAATCGTAATTTCTTCATAACACTTAGCTTTTTATTTTTAGTGAGCAAGGATATATTATCAGTTCCAAATAATGCAATGCTTAATTCTGTCATGTCAAGGTAGAGGAAAAGCAACCCAGGGCATGTTTACTCAGAAGCAAACCTCTTTGATTTCAGTGCGAAAGATTTCTGCTCCCAAGTAACTATGGGTAGCCTTAAGGAATCAGCTTTCATTTTGTCCTTCATTTGCCACACATATTAAAACTGTCCAAACTTCAGATTAAATTATGATTTAATGATACACTTGTGGCCATGAATTGTATTTGCATCCAGCCAAAGAAGATAATCATACTTTATGGGTCTGTTCTTGAGAAGTAGGAGCAATCATATTGGTGGGGTTGTTTTTTTAATGGTCATTTGGGTTTCAATTACATCTACCGAAATGGTACATGGGCTCAGGGAGAAGTATGTTAAATATGTCTATGGAGATTCTCAGTCATTCCGGTCATGGTTGTCCCAAAGGTGCTTTTTTAGGAGGCAACTGGACTTTCTTGGTTTTTTTTTGAAGACATTTCGCTTCTCATCCAAGAAGCTTCTTCAGCTCTGACTGGATGGTGGGGAATGGAAGGATTTATACTCCTTACAGGCAGCTGGTCATTTGCATTCTTTTAGAATGTTAACCTATTTAAATTTAACTTATGTTAAATATGGTTATGGCAATCATATCAAGGATTTTAAGAGTGGAAGTGGAAAGTTTGCCTGTCTGATACTTCCAACTCCTATTCCCCCTCTGAAATCCTCTCCAAAACATTAAAAGAGCTAAATGTCACTTGGTATCTTTAGCTTCCAGATGTTCAAAAGTGCAAGATATAGCCCCCAATTCTTAGAAAACTGCCCAGTCTTGCAGGAAACCAAACTGCTATTGTGGTTTATCATGTTGCACACAAATAGACCAAAGTCTTGCAAGCCATATAACGGAGTTTGGGCATCAGTTGTCTTTCTATTGTCTTTTTCCCTTTAAATTGGGAGAGGAGGTATTTTAGAGTTCATGCCGCCACTGCAGCACTTGCTAGTCCATCACCACTTACGATTCTACTTTAGGTCTACAGCCAAGAAATATAATACAAATTAAGCACAATAAATTCAGCCTGAGTTTCCGACAGGCAAGCAAGGATCACCAGCCAGTCCAAGGGTCAGAGTTTCAAGTTTCTTATATAAACTAAAGATGACAACACACCAGACATAGAAAATCAGATGATCGTTTCTAAATCTTACATAAGACTTAAGTACTGCAAGTCTTATATAAGACTGTTTTTAGTTACGCTAGCTGTTTTTAGGTAAGCCAGGTGTTTGACAGAGGGTCTCAGTGAGCATCTTTCCTCTGCTCTCCACCCTACCCCCCCCCCCCCAGTCCAAAGGCTTGGAAGTGATATGCCATCATCTAATTATTCTAGCTGTTCTCATGCTCCTTATCACCTCAGCTGATTCCTGACTTGGTGTTTCTTAAAGACACTCGATGTCTCCATGGTTCAACTGGAACAGCTTCTTCAGATTCAGTATTGTCTGAGTCCTGGGCCTTGACACTAACTGGTATTTGTTGACTGACTGTCTTTAAAGGCCTAAAGCCTTAAGACTCTGTAAAGCTGTCTAACATTCCAGAGATCCACTTTTAAGCAGAAATGACTGAAATTGGCTTTATGCCAAAGGTAGATCTAGAATAGTGTCTGTTACATCTTAAGTATCTCACCTGATATATAAGCTAATCAGCTATGTTTATTTGTTGAATAAAAAAACCTAAGTTATTGACTGTGGAGTAGTGGTGGGTTGCTACCGATTCGCCGCAGATCGGGTTGGTAGCGGTAGTGGCCCATCTGCCCAGACGCTGTCGCACCCACGTGCCCATGCGCAAACTGGTAGCGACGGGTTTTGAAACCCGCCCCAGCTATGGAGGACATGGAGAATGGCCTTGAAAGACAGGAGGAAGAACTGCTATCAAGGCAATAGTCAGATAAAAGGAGTTTGAGCCCAGGCTAAAAAATTAATAAAAAATCAATAAACTTGAGAAAACACCTCAAACAAGTCCCTCTCTAGTTCACACTAAAATAAAGCAAGGGAAGGGGAAGCACCTTCAGATTTTACTACTATAGCTATTATAATAAAAGTAATCCTGATTTATATGGCATTGGTTTGCTAGTCTAGTCTACCTTATTGGGCCAACCCTGATCTTCAAATATTACATTATATTAGAGAATCCATATTCATTATCCTGTCATTCTTCCTCCCGATGCCGCTGGATTCACAAGCATTCCTGCTGTGGAAATAAATGTAAAACAGATAAGAACATGAGTAATTTAGAAAACGCCAAATTCTTTAGCTCAACTACAGAGAGAAAAGAAAAGTGCTGAAGGCAGAACAAAAGAGCACCAGATGTTTTTATCTAATGTTTCACTCTTTCTAAATGCCACATCGTGGTTGACCACAACATTCAAGAAATTGTTTAGGTCTCCCCTGCCATTCTTTTTCAACTACGATAAATGGCTCAACAATGTGTTATGATAGTATAATGGTAGACTTGCATGCCTGGAAGAACTGAAATGCCATAATCTAGTTTCCCGAGCTATTCATTCCTGAATGTGGATTTTGCCTGCAGTTGTCAATCTGGAAATGCATTCCAGTGAAGTCACTGGGATTTAATCTGAAAAACAATAATAATCAAATTTCATTGTGGCTCTTGTCCTAATTGTAACATGTAATTAACTGGATTTACATCCCATTTTGTTTCCCTTCAACCCTCAGATTACAGGATATCATGAAAAGAACACAATTTGACAATAGATAACTTTTTAAAAAAAGGTTCTTCTACTTATAAACAATTATATACGCATATAATTGACTAAAAGCATTGGTGGCTTTCTTTCCAAGAAAAAGTCCTGCTACCACTGTAGTAAAGGACAGAAGTAGTGTGCTTTATTTCATACTGCATCCACTTTATCAGACAAATAAAAAAGATGAAGGGAGATCAACTAGGCTAGAAAGGGTGGTAACTTCAATAGTTTATTTTTTTGGTTGTTTTGCAAACTATCAAACCCACCAGGGCAACTCTTCCTAACAGGCAGTTTACCTCCATAGCACCCATCTGGCTGATGGGCCTGCATTACACATGCTAAATTCTGAATGTGCCCTCCAGCCCCAAAAAAGCTGTTTAAAGAAAGGCCAAGGGGAGGAAAGATTAAGCTTCCCCCAAAAAGATGGAATTCCGCTCCATGACATTATTTTGATCGTTCCCATGGTATAAATATGGATGCCTGTTGTATTAATGGTTACTAATTTACGATATTGGTGATGTATGGAATGGCACTGACTTTATAGAAGCTACTTTTATTTCTGCACCTACAAATGTAAAATGTGAGAAACCTGCTTCCGGGTGATGCATTCTGGAGGTGTCCAAAGTTACCAGAAAGGAAGCGGAAAGTCTGATTGGTCTGTAAGAAACTCTAGACATAGAATCTAGAGATAGAATCAAAATCATGTGACGTATGAGTACCACTTTATAAAACCTTAGCAAAACCACACCTGGAATACTGCAACCAATATTGGTCACCACACTACAAAAAAGATGTTGAGACTTTGAAAAAAAAGTTCAGAGGAGAGCAACTAAGATGATCAAAGGGCTGGAGACTAAAACATGAACGGTTGCAGGATTTCAGTTTAGCTAGTCTAGAGAAAAGAAGAAGTAGGGGTGCCACGATAGCAGTATTCCAGTATCTGAGGGGCTGCCAGAAAGAAGAGGGGGTCAAATTATTCTCCAAAGCACCAGAAGGCAGGACAAGAAACAATGGATGAAAACTAATCAAGGGGAGAAGCAACCGGGAATTAAGGAGAAACTTTCTAATAGTGAGAACAATTAACTAGTGGAAAGGTTGGCTTTCAGAAGTTGTAGGTGCTCCCCATCACTAGAGGTTTTTAAGAGACTGGCAGCCAGATGTCTGAAATGGTATAGGGCCTCCTGCTTGAGCAGGGGGCTGGACTAGAAGACCTCCAAGGTCCCTTCCAGTTGTTCTATTCTATTCTATTCTATTCTAATTCTATTATTTTCTATTCTATTCTATTCTATTCTATTCTATTCTATTCTATAATTATATAATGAGCATTAGCTAGAGTTTATTAATCGAACCCAGACTTCACGTTTAGGATCAGAACAGGAGGAAAAAGTGTGGTCGTGGGATACCAAATCATCTCCCCACAGCCTTAAAAAAAGAAAAAAAAGACGCAGACAACAACCCCGGGTAAGGTGGGAGCACCCCCTCGACCAAGCGCAGAAGTTGCAAACCGAAAACGCTTGTAAAATACCAGGGATCAAAAGAGGCTTCTGGACCTCGTGGTAGCCCCCCTCCCCTACCCCCCCGGGCAGATGAAGCGGGGCAAGCAGATGGCGGAGCCCCTGACCAGTTTGCCTCGCATCTCGACGCTCGATCTCCGAGCCAGGGCAGGTCTAATCCAGTCCCGCGCGGCACGTGATCCCCGACGCGGAGTTTATAGGACGCCGGCCCTGGCGAGCACCTGGAAGGCGGTCGTCAAGCTCCTCCCTTCCAGCCTCCGGGAGAGGCGCTCGGCAGAGATTCCCGACGGGGCAGCCACCGGAGCGGAGGAGGAGGAGGAGGAGGAAGGCGTCGGCGTTAGGTGCCAGGGAGAAGACTGGGGGACGTCGTTCTCAACTCTGATCCGAAGATCCTGGTCTCCCGAGCGGGCCTGAAAACTCAGGCGCAACTCAGCATGGCTTTTGGAAAGAGTCAGAAGGATGCCTTCGGCACCCCCGTGGGCCATCTGATCGGTAAGCGGAGCCTGCCGGGTAGCTCGTTCCCTTCAGAGTCAGAGTCAGATTAACAGAGTAGAAAGGGACCTTGTAGGTCATCTAGTCCAACCCCCGCCCAAGCAGGAGACTCTACACCATTTCTGACAGATGGCAGTCCAGTCTCTTCTTGAAAGTTTCGTGCTGGCCCGGAGCCGTCTTCCTGAATTTAGCGGCTCGATCGCCAACTTCTGATATCATGATATCGCTTGGATTCCTGGCATTTTCCAATTACGATTGGACCAGACGGCGTGTGAGGCTCTTGAATTTGTGTATTCAAAGGGTTGTGGGGAGAAGGGCTTCACCCGTAGCCTGGATTCCCGCGTGGGGTGGAGGCTCATTTCTGATAACTCATAGTAAAATCCCAAACTATTATCCGCTGCCCGCTGAAAGTTAGATTGTTATGCGATGTGAATAGAAATGCTTATGGCAACCTATAGGGTAATTGAACTTTTGGTGAGTTTGGAAGTTTGGAAGACTGAGCAAATGAAGAGATTTGATAATCATATATTACGTATTTGATAAGGTCACTTACAGGAAACTTTAGTCAGCAACTGAGGATCAGAACTGGTCCAAAGTGCCTCATCTATGCTTTTGGAACTTTTGCAATCATTTTTAAGCACAACAGGTGTGTCCAATAGAGGCAACCAGTAGCACCTGCTGAAGCCGCCTATTTCAGAGCAAAAATTGTGAATATAGGCATTGATGCAGTGCTGGCGTTCTGCATTTTACAGGGCAATGGGTGAACTTCCAGAAGTTGTTGATTAAGATTAATGGTGATTATGGTTCAATAGCAACTGAGGGCTTTAGGCCCATTTTATCTTGGATATATCCTTGTTCTTGCCCTAGGGCTCCTTAAATGGCATTAGAAAATATTTTTGAGCCAGAATACCATGTTGAAATTCCACCAAATGCAATCTATTACTATTAGCTGAATTTCCCACATTTAAAAGTTGGCTGAGAGATATGTGTTTATTTACAAGTAGTCCTTGATTTATGACCATAGTTGAGCACCAAATTTCTGTTGCTAAGTGAGACAGATGTTAAGTGGATTTTGCTCCATTTTATGACATGTTTGCCACAGTTGTTAAGTGAATCGCTGCAGTTGTTAAGTTAGTAACAAGTTGTTAAATAAATCTGGCTTCCCCATTGACTTTGCTTGTCAAAAGGTCATAAAAGGTGATCACATGATCCCTGGGATATTGCAACCGTCATAAATATGAGTCAGTTCCCAAGCGTCTGAATTTTGACCACAGGGATGCTGCAGTGGGCTGCATAAGGGTGAAAAAAAGGTCATAAGTCACTTTTTTCAGTGCCATTGTAACTTTGAACAGTCACCGAATGAACTGTTGTAAATCGAGGACTACTTGTGCTAGATTTATATTTGGCTATTCGCTCATTTTTTTTTAATTTGAAAAAGCTGCCTGCTAAGTCTAAATGTCCTACTTTGATCATCTAAAATAACAGTTTGTTCCTAAATGTCTAGCTTTTTAACTGTGAGCCCAATCTTTCCCTTGGCAGCGAAAGCTACTTTTGGAACCTTGCAGACAGAAGAATGGGGTCAGTTCATGCATATTTGTGACCTTATCAACACGACTGAGGAAGGGTAAGCTGCTTGATCTTGTTCAAAAAGATAAGTGTTTGATCTTTAGCTACGAGGTCAGAGAATGACAGTGCTTCTTCATGAATTGTTGCATTTTTGTTTGCTATCATTTTGCTCTTCAGCAGTTGGGAAAACTTAATGTTTGTGGGCAAGCATGTCCAGAATAGTGGATGGAAATGTTTTACTTTTGTTTGTTTTTTGTTTTGACTTTTGTAGAATTTGTGGCTAAGAAGTATAACATGGTAGGCCTTCAGGTTTGAAAAAGACACTCTGTTTTGCGGTTTTGTATATGGAGATGGCTCTGCAGTCCCATTCTAGAAGCATAGAATTAGTGCAGCGGTGGCACGGGAAAGTCTGTTGTTGTGGTAACTATGGGTGATATTCTGTGATGCCACTCACTGCTAACAATTTTTGGCGGCACATGTCTTCAAAGCTGGTGAAGGCTTCATAGCAGAGAGCTTGTCAACAGATTATGTCAGCAGCTGCAGCTTCCTGTTCTCTTAGCTGGAAGTCACAGTGGTGTGAGGTTTTTTTCACAGTTTCTTTGTATGATCAATCTAGAGATCTCTTCCCAAACTTCGAGATTTCTTCCCAGACTGCAGTACACAGTGGAGAAACTGGAGAAGCATACAGTGATCATCCATTCTTATGACGTGTCCCACCCATCGCATTCTGGGCTCTGATAATAAGAGACTCAATGCTGGTGGACTCTGCATATCCAAGATCTCCAGGCTGGAGACATGGCCTTGCCAACAAATATCAAGGATGGAGCAGAGAGGACACAGGTGAAATTTCTCCAGTTATTTGATGTGCCTTCAGTACAGAGTCCTGGATTCACATTCATATAGGAGGGAAGAGATAACCTGGATTCTGTAGACTTCTGGCTTTGTGGTGATATGAATGTTGTGTGGATTGAGCACTTCAGTACATTGCCATCCCAGCACTGGCTGGCCTTGCTGATCCCTAAGTCAGACCCGTCACTCGAGATGATGCTTCCCAAGTATTTGAAGCTGTTTGCCTTTCTCAACTGGGTATCATCAACAGTGATTTTTGGTTCTTTGGACTTGGTACTACTGGCAAAGTACTTCACTTTTGTTCAGGCTGATAGTCAGGGCCAAAGAGCATAGCAGCTTCTAGAATTTTGTTTATTATTTATTTATTAATTATTATTAATTTAGAATTTATTTTAAGAAGTAAAATAAAATATATGTTAAAACCTTTCAGGAGGTCCCCACCACCACCAAAAATTCCTGAAAACAATGCATTCGCAATTGGGAAGAGATTTGCTGTAGTAGGGGGAAAAAATCCACCAATCAGACCATGTGAAATTTGTGGTTTATCCATTTCAACTTTATATGAAGTTGTGGGGACTTCTTCGTCTGTTGCAATGTATGCTAAGAGTTGCCAACTTTCACCACGTTCCTCTAGCTTGCTTTTGAACATTACTAGAACTCTTTTGAATACTAAAAGTGGGGCTTGATTGGCATAAAACACGAGCAAACATTTCTTTTCATGCTGTGAAATCTTCACCTTGACATTTTTTTAAAATCAAAGACAGCAAAGAAGGACTGGATTGAAAATGGATTGGTATCGCTATGTGTTTTTGACGTTGTGATTACTGTTTCCTTATGAGTTGGATTTGAATGTGAATTGTCCAGCGTCTCTGGAACAGAATATAAATGCTAATAAATAAATAGATAATAAACAAGACAAATTGCATGTATTAGGCAATCCTACTTCCTGGTAAATGTATTTGCATCCTACCTGAAAATACGGAAGCTCATATTTGTTGTGTACATGTTCATTAAATGTGTCTGTAAATTAATGACAGTGCACACTTTGAAAACATGGTGAGTAAAGCAGCTCTGTAATGGATTTATAGCGGGGTGTCCATCTGCTGGCTGGGGAATTCTGGGAGTTGAAACCCACAAGTCTTAAAGTTGTCAAGATTGGACACCCCTGATTTATAGGACCGTGCAAGTTTGGCTAGTGCCTTCACTGCTTTTTAGCATTTGAATAGATGTGAGCAATAGGAGCTATTCTTACCCCTGAATAAAAAGGTCAAGATCAAGGTTTTCCCTGTCCATGTCTGACTCTAGGGGTCGGTGCTCATCTCTTTTTCTTAGCTGAGGGAACCAGCATCGTCCAAAAACATGTCCATGGTCATGTGGTCAGCTTGACTATATGCCAATGAAGCATGGTGGCTTCAGGATGCTGGGTCAACAGTTTGCAGCAGCAAATTGTTCAAAACCCAAGTCCTGCTGTGTGTCAGAGTGAGTCCTCATCATTCCCTCCAACTTCTGCTCTCCTAGCAGTTCGGAAGTATGCAAACAGGAGTAGAATAGAATAACAGAGTTGGAAGGGACTTTGTAGGTTATCTAGTCGAAACCCCTGCTCAAGCAGGAAACCCTGCCTATACCAGATGGCTGTCCAGTTTCTTCCTGAAAGCCTCCAGTGATGAAGCACCCACAACTTCTGAAGGCAAGCTGTACCATTGGTTGATTGTTCTCAGTGTCAGAAAAAATCTCCTTATTTCTAGGTTGAATCTCTCCTTGATCAGTTTCCATCCATTATTCCTTGTCTGGCCTGCAGGTGCTTTGGAAAATAGGTTAACCCCGTCCTCTCTGTGGCAGCCCCTCAAATACTGGAACACTGCTATCATGTCACCCTGGTCCTTCTCTTCACTAGACTATCCATGCCGAGTTCTGTAATCATTCTTCATATGTTTTAGCCTCCAATCCCCTAATCATCTTTGTTGCTCTTCTTTGCACTCTTTCTAGAGTCTCAACATCTTTTTTAGTGTGGTGACCAAACCAGATGCAGTATTCTAGGTGTGATGTTTACTAAGGCTTTATAGAGTGATCTTCTCTATGTGATCTTGATTGAATCCCTCTGTTAATACAATTTAGGATTGCATTGGCTTTTTTGGCTGCTGCCACATACTGCTGGCTCATATTTAATTGATTGTCCACTAACACTCCAAGATCCCTCTCACAATTACTGCTCTTAAGCCAGGTTTCACCCAATCTATATGTGTACTTTTGGTTTTTCTTGCCTATGTGTAAGACTTTACTTTTCTCTACATTGAATTTCATTTTGTTAGGGCCCAGTGTTCAAGTCTGTCAAGATACATCTAGAGCTTGAGCCTGTCATCTAAGGTGTTGGCTATTCCTGCCAGCTTAATATCATCTACAAATTTGATGAGTTCCCCTTCTATTCATCTAAGTCATTTATGAAGATATTGAAGAATACTGGGCCTAAGATAGAACCTTGTGGTACCCCACTGTTTCCTTCCTTCCATGTAGACATAGTACTATTAAGGACTGCTTGTTGACTATATGCCAACCCTAACTGTCAGCCAGTTACAAATCTATCTGGTGGTGATGCTATCTATCCCACTTTTTTCTAGCTTACCAAGAAATAGGTTGTGAACTATAAATAAATAAATAGATATCACTTTGGTGGGCTCATTAATAGGGAGATGAAAGGAGCCCCCAACTGCGAATCAGAAACAAGCAAAAATGTTGCAATTAACAATTATATGACCGTCAGATGTGCAACTGATAATAAAAGTGAGCTGGTTGCAAAGTACCTGAATTACAATCACGTGATTTTGGGGATGGGTAACAGTTGTAAGTTCAAATTTAGGTCATAACTATCATTTACTGAAGTTGTTGCTAATTCCAGTCATCTTTAAGTGAACTGTCATAAGACAAGGACTACCTTTTAATGACATTGGTGTCCTGCCTTCAAAAAATACAGAAAAGTCCATTATCCTCAGAGTAATCCTGAGGTGTATTTTTGCCTGAGAAAAAGTGTTTGCTCGGCGAACCTTGTAACTAATTTACACCCATGCCAATGCTCAGTCCATAAGCTGTTAGTCCAGGAAACCTCTGAAGCAGGAATTACAGGGCATCTAGCAGAAAACATCCTATTTGAGGTGTGTAATTTTGCAAAGAAGGAGCATGCTGTTTTGAGCATGTAATTCTATATCCTGAGGCTTGTTGTTTAAGAACTACAATACCAGTTCAAATTGACTTTTTTAATTGTACCATGACTCGGTTTTTATGGTTTTTATGGGTGGATCAGATTCTGTATTCAAAAGAGTTCTAGTAATATTCAAAACTCTCCCAAGCATACACCCTATTTGCTAACCTGATCTGCCAACATGCAAAAAAAAAAAAAAAAAAAATAGTTTAATCTATGGTACTTCACGTAACACTAGGAGAGAGGCAAATGACATCTCTGTATTGATATCATTGTACAAATGATACAACTTGTCCTCGCATCAGATGTCACATTGTCATTAAAGCACAGAATTGCACTATTTGCATGACAATATGACATACTGATCTGTTATTGTGACTTTTAATGGAGAAGGCTGCCACAATGGGAAACTGCCATGAAAGTGCTGAACTACAGTTACTAGCATTCCTTACCATTAGCCACGATTGACTGCTGGGAATGGTAGTTCAACAACTCTGGAAGTCCAGAAATGTGTGGACATAGTTCAATGTATGAAGTAGCAGTAAACATAATATCTAGAATCTTGGATGAGTTATTGGGGGCTATATATCTGGACATTTGCATAATTTTTGAATGTAACTCTTCCCTTTCCATGCACAGCTAGATACTGTGGTATCTCTTGGCTGCTTCCTCTTCGGAGAGAAAAAGAATTAAGCTTAGTCTTCTCTAACTAGGTGTGCTCTAGATGAGTTGGGCTATATGGGTAGTCCTTGCTTAACAACCAGTTATTTTGAGAATGTTTGCAGTTATAGCCACAGAATGGGGACTTTACGACCCATAAAACACCCCTGGCCCTCATAAATGGTCACACCACATGCTCCCTGCCTGCGGTCATGTGGCTGCATGTTGGGCAGGTCAGCTTTGCAACCCATTGTGGCATTCCTCAGCCATATGACCACAATTCCAGCTAAAAATGCCCATTCAAATGATTACTGTGTTTACTTAAGAACCACCGCCACCAAAAAGAAAAAAAAAAGGCCTGGAAATTCCAGTCATGTGGATGCCTTGATTTATGACTATAACGATTTATGATGGTAATTCCAGGGTCAATTACAATTATAATTCAAGGACTACCTGTAGTTCCTATATCTTTAACCAGCATAGCCAAAGAGAGTTAGAGTCCCACATATTTCGAAGACAGCAGTCTGTGAGAATCATTACTTCAAAGAGCAATTTTTGCTCGAAACAAAATTGGAATAAAATAAGCTTTACCTTTTATAGTTTGCTCCTAAGATATAGGCTATTGTTTATATACACTTAAAAGAGTTGCTTATTGCTAACCCTAGGTTTATTTTTCTGGGATGGGTTTTGTGTTTTTCGTAGGGATTATTCTCTGGAATCCAGCCATGGCCTTTTATTTGTACTTTAGCAGTAGAACCTGTTCTTCCTTTTAAAAGTGTTTCCTGGACGGCTTACAAAAATAATAATAATAAAGTAAACCAGCAACAAACCAAATCAACAAAAAAGCAAGTCATAGTTACAACAGTATATACTCAGCCAAAGGCAATAGCAGTGTTATTGCTGTCCATACTACTGCCTGTGGACTTATCCTCTAAGCAATTTCCAACCACACAAGGAAAATTGGCACATTGTTCTGAAAGGTTTAATTTAATCTGATTTATTAAATTTGTTATAGTTGCCCACTCTATTCTGTAAGCCACGATTCTGCGTGGCTTACAAAACCCAGAAAGAATAGAATAGAATAGAATTCTTTATTGGCCAAGTGTGATTGGAAACACAAGGAATTTGTTTTGGTGCATACGCTCTCAGTATCTTTTCTCAAAGAAAAGATACATTCGTCAAGAATCATACGGTACAACACTTAATGATAGTCTTAGGGAAACAGTCAATATAAATCTTAAAGATACCAGCAACAAGGTTACAGTCATAAGTGGGAGGAGACGAGTGATAGGAATGATGAGAAGATTAATAGTAATGCAGACTTAGTAACTAGTTTGACAGTGTTGAGGGAATTATTAAAATAGATTTAAAACAATGAAAACATACACAGGCAGCCCATATCAAAATGCTAGGCCATGAAGATATGATGGGCCCTCCACAAATACCTCAGCTAAACATGTTAACCGCAGATAAAAGCTAGTTTTTAAAGTCAGAACCCTAGGAGAATGAGTGCCATTTGTATCTCCGAGCAGTGGTGGGATCCTACCGTTTTAACAACTGATTCGCTGAGCGCATGCGCCAGACGTATGCTGCGCGCGCGTGCACACTTTCAAGAAAATTGAACTTCTGCGTTGTTGAGAGCAAGGAAAACAGCTGAGGAGCGGTTTCAAACCAGTCTGAACCGGTAGGATCCCACCACTTTCCAGAGGGCAGGCATTGTGGCAGAGAAGGCATACTTCCTCTATCCTTTAGTAGAGGGGACCTACCGTGTAACCCATTCTGTATAAATGTACCAGGCAGCATCAATTGAAGATAGACAGTACTTCGGATAACCAGGCCATATGCTACAAAGGGCTTTGTGTTACTCTTCTGAAACAATCTTTACGTCTTCAACTTGGGGAGATATATAGTACCTCCTCCCTTTCCTAACTATATTAATTTAAGATTGATGGGAGCTGCCAGGCAGTCAGAATACCTGGAGTTTGAGGGAGAATACCCTAGAGATGATGTGAATTTTTGTTTGCTTGTTCATTCAACTTTCAGAGAGCAGAAGAAATGAAAAAAAAAAACATTCTGGGTTTTTGTTCCCCTGGAAACTTGCCAACTTTCTTGGATCTGCATAACCACGGATATCTGTGGGCTTAGCTAAAGAGAAGCCATGTTCTCAGGGGGAAACAGGATTATATGAGTTTTGGTCTGGCTTATGTGTCAGTCAATGAGAATAACCAGTGTTTAGCAGCCCTCCAGCCCGTGTCCAGTTCAGCATTTGAAACTACGTCACTAAGGGCTGGTCATTTAACGGTTGGTACAGTGGTGAAATCATTTTTTTTTTTACTACCAGTTCTGTGGGCGTGGCTTGGTGGGCATGGCAGGGGAAGGATACTGCAAAATCTCCATTTCCACTGCACTCCAGGGGAAAGATACTGCAAAATCTCCATTCCCACCCCCCTCTGGGGCCATCCTGAGGTTGTATTTGCCGGTTCTCTGAACTGCTCAAAATTTCCGCTACCGGTTCTCCAGAACCTGTCAGAACCTGCTGGATTTCACTCCTGGGTTGGTATCATTATCCTTAAATCAAGATGAGCAACAAAGATAACCAGCGTTAAGCTTAGAGTCATCAGGAGCAGCAGAATATGCCAGTTTACAAAGCATTAAAAAGGCAAATGCTCTCTTACCACAGAGAAAGTTCACCCCTGAGGGGGAAAAGGCTCTAAAGGCATGCTTTTCCATTTGTATTATGCAGTCAGAAGTGGCTTGAAGGCCACATAAGGCTTCATACAGCCACCTTTCAAAAGTCAGCAAGGACCTGAATTTGAAGTCCATTGTTGATGTCTTATGTTTCTGCAAGGCTTAAGCGGGGCATTTCACCTTCTAAAAATACAACATAGTCTCTCAAATGAACTAGTGTGGCATAATGGATAAAGTACTGGATTAATACCAGTATTAGGGAGGGAGTAGGGAGTAGTAGGAAGACCGAGGTTTGAGTTCCTGACCAGTCATAGAAAATGTTTCTCAGCGCATTCTACCTCATAGGATTGTGTTATGTTTTATTATTGTTTTATGGAAAATAGGACTGCTATTTTCACACAGACACACACACTGGATTTTCGGTAAAGACTTTGGAGGCTAATAGGAGGGAGTAGATTCAGAATCTATTTCAGTGTCAATCTTTTATTGTTCTGTTTTTATTCTCTCTCATATTGGTGATGATTATTTTCCATGCCTCCAGGAAAGGCATCTTACTTACAACACTGACTATTAAGCATGCTACAACATTTGGGGCTGATGGGAGTTGGAATTCAACATTTTGATAAGCCTATAGGATTCCTACTTCTACTGTAGACAGAAACGATGCACTGAGCTTGGGAAAAGGTTTCAGCAAAGCTTGTGCAGTGTCCCCAGTGGTGGATTATCCAACCTTCTGTAATAGGGATGCTATGCAGTCAACTATATATTAACATTTACCAAATATAAATCATCTCGGACATCAGGTCATGCAGAAATTAACCATCTATTGTACAAACTTCTGTAATGGAATGAGAAATTTTATTCTTTGGCAGGACATGGTGTATGTTGGGTGGGCAACTATGGCAATTTTATGACCTGTGGACTTCAACACCCAGAATTCCCAAACCAGCTTGGAAATTCTGGGAGTTGAAATCCGCAAGTCATAAAGTTGCCGTAGCTGCCTGTCTCTAGTGTATGTACTCTCAACACACACGCAACTCATCTTTGTCACTGAAGTGGCTACCTTGCTTTATTCCCGTCTTGATTTAATTTTCCTCTTTGGGGGTTTTTCATTTCAGCAATCTTGATTCCCTATTATAAGAGAAATAATATGTATGTAGAATTTTAATGATCAGTATGTTTTCTGGTTTTATTTCTTCTAACTGCAGACCCAAGGAGGCAGTGAGAGCACTTAGGAAAAGGCTTTCCAAAAACTGTAATCATGTGGAGATTCATCTTACCTTGTCCGTAAGTACAACACGTTTGGTCCTCATAAAATATCTGCACAGCACAGGACAGAATTTGTAGATGTTTTCCAGACAAGTGTTTTGCTGGAATATTAGCACAGTTTCCTGAGGCATCAAAAGTCAGATTCATGGGACGGAAGTTGCCATTTTTGAATTAAATTTACAAAATATCATTTGGATCCCTTTAGTTCGATAGGCAGAGGACTGCTCCTCCCATTGAAAGTAGCAGAAGTGCTTTGTATACCTCACTTGCGTCTCAGACAAATGGCAAGGGAAGGAAAACTAAAGCAGAGCACACTCTTACAAGTTTTAGCTTCCGGCACTGTAGCCTGGAAATTAATTTAGAACTTCCAGTTCCACTTACTTATTAGTTTTACAGTGTGCTAGTTCTCCAAGAGCTCAAGACAGCTTCCATTCCCTTCATTTTTACCCTTATAGTAACAGGCCTCAGAATGATCGAGAATGACTTATTCAGAGCTAATCAGGGATATTATGTGTTGAGGATGGACTAGTGCCCATTCAACACTTAAGCACTATATTAATATCCTCCTTCTCCCCACTTCTCTTGAATAAATATGGAAGTATTAAGCACCCAATTTAAAATGAAAAAAATAAACAAATTTAAGCATTGTTCAGAGTTCTAGTTTTTTTTTTTTTTAACATTATAGCTTTATCCAACCCACTCTAAAGTAGAAAGCTTAGCATTTTAATCAGCATATTGCCTCATGTTTTCTTTTTAAACTAAGTATTTGGTTAGCTTGGAAGAAAAAAAATGACATCCTGTTAAAGAAATTGTTGCTTAACCACAGAACATTTTCTCTGAGAGTTTTCCACTTTACAGCATGCTGTAATATCTTTACATCTAGGAGTTAAAGCTAGTATTAAGTACTATGAGAATATTATTGAACCAAGTCTATTGAAGCATGTAGTTTTAACTACACAAAGGTGTTGTTGGCTCAGAATCAGCTCACACAGAAAAGAGATATTTATTTTGTAATTTTAAAACTTATTACAATAGTTCATCTGTAAAGTCAATATGAAAAATTAATGTGTGTTTGTTCATGTATTTCTGTCTTTGCTGGGCTTTAATTGAGGGAGACACTATTTCACACAGAAAAGAGATATTTATTTTATAGTTTTAAAACTTATTACAATATTTTATCACTAAAGTCAATATGAAAAATTAATATATGTTTGTTCATGTATTTCTATCTTTGCTGGGCTTTAATTGAGGGAGACACTATTTGAATAACTGGATTAAAACTTAATTATAACATAACTAAGATAAAGGATGCTGGAAGTTATAACTTTAATAATAATTATTGGGCAATAGTTCACCTTTGCTTTATTTGCAGGCATCTACAGTCTTTCATTTCAATGTTACAATGCTGGATGGAAGCTTTATATTTACAAAACCGTAACCTGATAGTTATGTTAAAAATATATTGAAGTTAAGCCATGGTATTTTAGCAATAATAATATTTATATAATATGTTTGAACAGGCTATGGCTTGTTCCATCACAATTGCATTTCATCTATGATTTAGTGTGATACATGAACCAAGTCATAAGCCATTGAAATGAGTGTAAGATAAACATCACACAGTACAAGGATCTCTATCTTGTGCATTTAGCCACCAGTCCAGTTTCCAGGATGTTGTAGCAAATAACATGCAATTTTAAAAAGTGGAGTTAAATGGCAGGAGAGCCAGTTTAGTGCAGTGGTTAAGGCATTTAGCTAGAAACTGGAAGACTGTGAGTTCTGATTCTGCCTTAAACCCATCTGGGTGACCTTGGGCCACTCTCTCTCAACCCTTGGAAGCAAGCAAGGGTAAACCACTTATGAAAAAAAAAACTTGCCAAATAATAACAAGTGGGTGTGAATTAGAAATACTTGGAGCAAAAAAAAAAAAAAGAATTTCCTGTATAGTAGCCCCGTCTGATATTTTTGTGGGTGTTGTCTAACATTCCGATGTAGGCTATAATCTAGGCCAGTATGGTCAAACGGCGATAGCAGTTAAGGAGTTTGGAGCAATGTAGGCTGGTCCATTGCTTGAACTTATGTACAGTAATTGTAATGGTAGATGGATTCAAATTCCTACGCTTTTTTTTTTTTTAAAGTCACTAGTGGTACAAATGATTGATAGTTCTTGTTCACAGGACTACCTGCCTCATCGGTTGTAATATAAGACACAGCTTTTGGAATTTGAGGAATTTGCTTTTCAAAATAATGATTACCACACTGTATGAATGAAGTCCTACTGATTTAAATTTCCCCAAAGATTTTATACCACCTAATGTTTGAATCCTTCCTTTCAGAAATTACAGAACTTCAGTAATGGATATTTTCCCCAAATGAGTATGATAGCTTTCATTCCTAACTTCCACCTGTCATCCTGATTAATTTGCAAAGAGTTGTAGAATATGTGAAGTGTTGTAGACCACCATGGATCTTGTTATCATGTACTGTTTTTCTTCATATACATATATACATACATGCACATACATACACACACACACACACACACATCAAGGATACACAATTATATCTAGCCTCTACTGTACTTAATCATTATTCATCATTTGACAAATGTGAAAGACAGCAGAGGTCCCTTGAGATTTCATATCCTATAAAAGAATAGAGACAATTTTTAATCTATTGGTCTTTCCATTGGGGAAGGTGGATACCATGAAATATTAAATGGAATGAATGAATAATCACACCCACCATTTCAGATTTCTTTCAGCGAAATCAGATGTGTTGGTGTGTGTTTCTGTCTTGGGGATTTCTTGCAGAAATGATTTTTGGATTATAAAAAACCTATAAGTTTTTATAAACTGGGAAAAAGCCAGTTTGATGTAGTGACTAAGGCATAGGGATAGAGACCACCTTAGGCACGAAGCCAGCTGCATAACTTTGGACTAGCCCCTCTCTGTCTTAGCTGTAGGATCAGGCAAACACAAAATACTTCTGAAATCTTGCCAGAAAAAAATGTAAAGACTTGTCCAAGCATTCACCAGGACTCATCTGTTTGTCTATCTATGGGATAGAAATGAAGAATTCCTGTAGAGAGATATCATGAAAAATAAAATGCTGATGTGTTCACAATAAAGGATAAGGTAGGCAGAAATCTGAATATTGTGCCAAATTTCAGGATTTGTGTGATCATGCGGCATATGATCAGCAGTGAATACAGGTGGAAACAAGATGCTTGCCAGCTCTGTGTCTCAGGAGAAAATAGTATTATGCAATGTGTGTGTGTGTGTGTGTGTGTGTGTGTGAGACCAACTTCTCTGCTTAATCAGAGGAGCTTATTAGGGCTGATTATCAGATGTGCAGGAGCAGACTTATTTATTGCTTATTCTGCTTTTCTTCTGGTAACTTGTTGAGCAGGACAATTATCAGCAGAGTTGAGCTAATAATTTAGGTTGATCAATGGCCAACATTTTCCAGACATCAATTTGGACAGCCTTAGTATGTTATGCTGGATTGGGGATTCAGATTCCTGGATATGTCGACACACTTATGTTCCCCCACCCTCTTCTTAGTAACTCTGAGTCATTACTATAAGTATTTTGAAGTTCTTCTGAGTTGCGAAAATTCGTATTTTTTTTTAAAAAAAACAGCCTTTGCTTCCTCTTGGCATGCAGATTAGATATCAAACTAACTGCCTTTTATTTATTTTTCCCTGCCTGCTCAGCACACTGTAATGTGTGCCTTGAAAACACCTTGGGATAATTTATCTAGGGCTTTATTCTGCAGATGTTAATTCACTACATGGTGTTTAAATAAAGAAAATCCCATATACTTTTATAGCTGCATGAGTTGGTGGAAGTTGGGAACACGGCTGACCTGCAAGTAATTTCTACAAGCAAAAGTAGAGGCAATTTTTCAACAAGATTTTTCTTCTACTCAATTCAGCACATTCTTTTTGTACCTCTGTTAAAGAGTCAAAATTAGAAATTGGACATTGTTATGCACTTGCTTCATTAAGGCATGAGGGAGTTTTGATATTTGAGTGATGAAAAATTGAAGACTAAAATCTGAGGGAAACGATAATAGACAGGTATAGCATTGAGACAAAATGTGCCCCCCCCCCCAGATTCCCTGTCTCATCTGTAAAGATTATTTTTTCATCAATTAAAAGAAATCATATTTTCAAATCAATATTACGGAGTTTTGTTTGTTGTGGGCCTTAGAAGAATACTTAGAGGCTGCATGCAGCCTAGGGGAACAAGCAGCCACAAATCTTCACTGTTTACAATATTTTCAAAACATAGTAAGAAGGAATATTTTTAGATCAACAGCCAAGATCACGGCTTGGTTAGATAATCTCCTTTATTATTAATAAACTTTGGGTGTGTCAGACCTGTTTTCGTGGGAGATTACCTAATAGCTTAAATGTAAATAAACAAGTTGCTGGATTTACTGGAGCCTTGATAATTCTCTGGAGCATTGCCGGTCTGTTTATATGACTTTTGCTGCAGTAGAAATGTAACAGTGGTGGGTTGCTACCAGTTCGCACCAGATCGGGCGAACCGGTAGCAGCGGCGGCAGGAGGCTCCGCCCACCCACCCGGATGCTTCTGTGCATGTGCAGAAGCACCAAGCGCGCGAGCGAACAGGGAGCAACGGGATTTGGAACCCGCCCCTGGAATGTAAGTGTTAATTGAAAGATCCCGCTGCTTTGGGTCACCATAAAGATCCATGGAAGCTGAACTATTTTCCCAAGCAAATCTGATTTTAGGGATCTGGGTATCACGGTATCAAGGCTTTCTCAAATGCAATGCACAATCCCCATAATAAATGGCTAGATTAGACAGAATGAGAAGATGTTGGTTTGAAATAATAAAGGGATTATAAAGTAGAGTCGACGTTTATACACCTTGAAGGATAGAAGCTTGAAATAGGGCTTTAGGGATAAAGGGGAGGGGGCAGAATAGTCTCTTAACTTGCAGCGATGGCCTCTTTGTAATGAGCTGCATCATTAAATGCTACCTG